ACTGGCCAGGGCTTCCCATGGATCTAGTTGACCAGCTAAGCCGAGGATAAAAGAGCCTTAGAAATGGTTCCTACAGTACACATCTGCCAGGGCAGCAAACAAGGAAGGCAGGAGCCGGCTGCTCAACAAGCATGGCTGCAGATTTGTGTTTCCTCTGCCTGAGCCACCAGGGAGTAGGGGATGGCCCCAGCCTGCAGCCACTGTGAAGAGCTCAGGCTCCACTCAGATTCCAAGGAGACTCAGATCCCAGAGGACTCATGACAGGCACAGAGATAAGGGCTTCTAACCAGGGGTGTGGCCAGATGTCCTTACCATGTCACATACAGGGAGGCAGACAGGCCTTGAAACCCTTCCAAATTCCCTACAGCTCTCCTCAAGCTCCCCATAACAATGACACTTATGTCACTGAGCATAGAGGAGCCAAGGGCTGGGCCAGGGGATGTATCAGTATGTCGTTTCACTTGCTTAGAGAATCTTGGTGACTAGTTCTCCGCAGTCCTCGCTGGTAAGACAGAAGCGAGCTCAGCAGCAATGATAACCATCAGAAGAATGACTCTAAGGGAAACCATGCTCCCCAGAGATCCAAGGGAGAGAAACCAATGTCCAGTGAAGTTGAGACGCAAAACTATTTCTTCAGAGAAGATTCTCTAGCAAGAGGAGCAAAGGTGGGCCTGCTGTAGACCACATGAAGATTTCCGTAGGAAAAGGGGACAAGGCTGGGCATGGTGGTGCATGTCTGGAATCTCAGTGCTGCAGGGGCTAAGGAGGGAAAAGTATCGGCCAGCCTGGATGACAACAAAACCAAACCAAGCGAGCATAATAAAAGCCAAGCAAAACCCCTGGCTTCTGGCTTCTCATGAAGTCTCTAGTCTGATGCCACTGTGTCACTCTGATGTGGCAGCAGTTGGCTTGGAGCCAGGAAGCTGCAAGCCCTTTAGATGTGGTGTTCAGACTCCAATCCAAATGCAGCCCCCACTCTTCCCCAGTGCGGTGGTTCTCAACCTTTCAAGTCTGTGACCCTTTCGTACAGTTCCTCATGCAGTGGTGACCCCCAACCATTAAATTATTTTCATTGCTACTTCATAACTGTAATTTTGCTACTGTTACGAATTGCAGTCTAAGTATCTGTTTTCCGATGGTCTTAGGCAACCCCTGTGAATCGGTGACTCATAGGTTGAGAATCATAGCCCTGCTTAATGTTCCTCTCCTAGCCTTTCTCTCTCAGCTTCACTGGTCCAGTCAGATGCATAGGCATTTCAGTTTGCTTCCTCAAACCCTCCGTGGCTGAATGGAAGAGCCCTGCTGCCCCCTGGTGGTCACAATTCACAAAGTACCTCCATTTTATTTTACGTGTGTGTGTGTGTGTGTGTGTGTGTGTGTGTGTGTGTGTGTGTGTGTGTGT